GCTGTCTGCTGTCGAAGTAGCACTTTTTTGGGGCAATTTTTATTAGTACATTTTAAACCCCCGCAGCGATGCCAGTGGTCGTGTTGAAGGTGTAACTACGAGCACATGTTGTTGGGTTTGCAATGATGGTCCTTGCGAGGCGCGTTAGAGTGCTGTAGCCAACTGAAGCTGCACTAAAGAAGGACTGGGATGACTCGTGTCTTGTGAGGAATTAGGGTGAATCGACGTAGCGGGAGGAAAAGAGGGATGATTATGTTAACAAAGGGTGGGAAGAAAGGGAGAGTACAAGTGGTTCCTTCAGTAAAAAGAAAGCTTGTACTAATGCTTGGACAATTTAAAGTCAACAGGAATACAGGTTATGTATATATTCTAGCGGTACTTCTTAATTTCATACCAAGGCTTTCCTTGAAATGAAAATCCAATAAAGAGTCACCGTTGACAGATATAAAAGAAAAGGAAGGGGATGCTAATGCCAAAGAAAAACGTGATATAGAAGATGCTTAGAAGCAGTCCACCACAGTCATCAGCGAAAAGGGAAAGTGTGATGAGTGACACAAACTCTGGAGAGGAATCGAGAGGTGTCGGTGGGGGAGGAGATAGCACAAGGAGTGTATATTTACGTCTTAGAAGCCCGCTAGCGTGAGTGGGTGGGGCGAGAGAAGGCTAGAATCGAAGGGAGGGAGGGTGGTGGATGCGTGGGTTGAGGGAGGGGGTGTCTGGCGGCCGTGTGGGTGTGGGGGCTGGTGGGGGTCAGGAGGCCATGTTACCAAACGGCACAAGAGTGGGCTTTGTTTTGAGATGCAAGCGTCGGATGCTAGGGGTAGACGATACTATTTTGATATGCGTTTAAAGTGCAGAGCCACGCACTCTGTGAGGGGAGAGTGAACTGCCATTTCTCAGACCAATTTAATTATTAAAAAAACTTATTTTCTTTGTTTTATACAATTATCCCCGATTACAGTCAATTTCCGGTATTGATGAGTTATATGTCGCAGTTTATAATGGACTCATGTAAGACAAAGGTTTGTCATAGAGAGTTCCCTAAATACTTGTAGACACTTCAAGGAAGCTGGAACAAAGATGCCGAGGAGGACAAGGGAGAAGCGCCTCATATGGTACTCCTAAGGTCGCTACTTACGATATTTTATTATTGTCTTCCAAATGTGCCGTTACATTGTACACCTTAAAGTTTCGGCCTTGATTATATATACACACTTTATAAGGTAAAAGTGGATGACACATTCTCCAGCAATTAGGAAGTCTTTCGCGATCAAACGTTCTGAGCTTGAATGTTAAAGCGCTGTTAGTTTTATAGGTAATATAAGGCTGTTTTCATTTGATCGCCTCCGTTTATGTTTACAAAAATGAAACAAAATTCAGTATTTTTGCCAGTTTGATAGTGTGCGTGTACTTAATAGATAATATAATCTCTCCAAAATATTTATAAATTGATAAGCGATCAGTTTTGCTACTATGTAGATTCAGTGTCTAAATCCTCGCGTGAGGCCGTCCTTTCTTATAACTTAAATAAAGGATACTTTAGGATATGATCACCAACGCTTGCATATATTTTGTTTAATGAAAGATTATTTTGTTAAGCTGGTTTATTAATTGAATGAAAATAATTATCTGCATGTTCTTTACTGATCGGCTTTATTATAGGCTCACTAACAATGAAGCCTAACTTCTTACGTAACGTCAAAGTTGCGTCGCTTCTCTTGTACACGTGGCACATACGCTTTAAATCCCAAGCCGAAAGGTGAATAGAGATTTGGCACCATCGCTTCCAGCTGTAAAGCAACCAATCAGACACGGCAAGGGTGCTTCTGCTAGCCAATCAACGAGAGCGTTTATTGTGACGTCACACCTGTAAACACGGAACAGCTGATGGGTCCACGCTGGCTCAGATAAACAAAGCGACGCTTCAGAGACAGACGTCCAGAACTGCGTGGAAACTTCGAGACTTCTCTAGATTTCTCCTCAAATTTTCATATTTAGGAATTGTTTAATTTCACTGCGCAGAAGGTGAGATATGGAATAGGGAGTTTCTGCTTATTTTGTGAGTGTTTTTAATTTGAAAACACACCTAAAACTTGGAAAATATAGTTATTGATCGCTCAAGGCTAGAGACGAAGCTTTGCAGAGAACGGAGTTTACGTCGCAGCTGAGCCGTAGTGACAAGTGAATTCTTGCAGGGTGAAATCTTGTTATGAATTCCAAGAGGCCACTACAATATAAATTTATGCTTTCTTTCTCGATATATGGAGGCTCGATTTATTTTTAGAATCTGACTTGTGAGTAATGGTACTCTTAACTTCAATTGGAAGTGTAGTTTTTCTTTTACTTTGTTCTAAAGTATATAGTTATTATAATGGGCTGTAAATATCCTTTTTATGTACTACATTATGTAGCTTTAAAAGTATGATGCGAAGTAGGAGTGATTAGTGTGTGGCAAGCCATGGCTGTTGGTATTCATTAACAAAGCTTTTTCTCATTTCAGGAAGCTTCATTCATTATTTAGAACCCAGTCATGGGAAGCACAGAGGAGATAACAAAAATGAGGTCTGTGAAGAAGAAATTGGACATGGAGGGTGAAGAATCTGATTCTTCAAAGTCAAAGGGAACATCAGGTGATGCAAGTCCAGACCCCTTAGAACATGGAATTGATGATGACTTGAAGCCACTAGCAGAGGGAGAGGCCAAGAACTCAAAAAGTGACACAGAAAGTGACAATGAAAGTGAGAAGGGAGCCTGCAAACCAAGAGACAAGTCTCCTGAGGGGATAGATGTTCAAGGTGCTCGCTTTCGGAATGATAGTGAGAGCTCATCGGAGAGTGGCAAATCTCCAAGTTCAGAGCGCATGAAAAGGTAGGACATGATTGTATTTATTATATTTTTTTTAACCATTTAATCTAATGCTCTTCTGAAACCTGGGAAATGTAAGACTGCTTCAATAATGACTGTTTTCTTGGTAGCAAATATTTTCATCAGAGGGTAGTATTTGAAGTTCATGTACATTGGTGAAATTCACTCATCATATCATATTTACACCTGCATCATTATATGTATTTTTATATAATTTTATGGAACATATATGATAAAATATAATTTCTAGATGTATTTTTCATTTTTATGGCAATAGTGACATGTATCTTATTCAATCTTATTCTCTCCTTAATTATGAAGAAAGTTTGAAAGTTGAAAGCCTTATATATTGTATTGATAATCAGAAATTACAAAATAGAGCCAGTCATCTTCTCAGACTTTTAGTGAAATGTGCAAGGCTATCGTTCTACTTTTAGTTATTATGAAGTTCATTCTTTGAGAAGTTATATATTGTATTCTCAGTGCTGGAGATTCATCATGTATTTAATTTTCAAATTTGTTTCTGTAAAAAAGTGCACACTCATATTGCTTGTGACTGAAAGCCACCTCTCTGTTAGGGATGAACACAGAAGTTATGAAAAAGGGAAAAGGAAAATATAAGTAGGAATCCTAAGCTAAACTTGAATTGATAAGATAAAGAGGAAAGTAGATTAAATGCCCATACTTGAATTGAAAGACAGAGTCAACCTAGGAAGTCTATTATCTCTATTGTTTATAGGAAAATTTTTAATTCATTTTCTCAAACAAACCATCTGTAAGGTACTTTAATGTATGCAATATGTTAAATATGCTTCATCTGGACTGGGATGGATTATAAAAATTCCAGAAGAACTATAGTTGGAAATATAAATCATTAATCAGCCAACATCTAGACATACATTTCCTAAATGTAATGAATGTAATACCTAATTGACACTATGTGCTTTATTTCTTCTATATGAAAAAGTTTGGTTTCCTTGCTTCAAGTATAGTTTTTATGTAGTTTTTGTAATTTGGCACTTTTACTTTGATTTTGATTATGATTGTCTGTTTGTTATGTTTTAGATTTTAGTCTGTTGCTTTAAGTATTATTTTGTGAGTTATATAGCTTTTGCCATCTTTTTGTTTCCTTTTTTTTTTAAAACACACCTAGACTAAGTCAGTGGTAAATTATAGCAAAGAATATTTCACCCCCCATCATTAATCATCAAAACTTCACAACAGATCACCCTACGAGATTCCTTGGCTTGGCTCGATGTTTGCCAGTCCCCATGTTTTCCGCATAATTGGTGCTGGCATTAAAAGGTTTCAAAGACATGGAAGGGTTTGTTTAACTTGTGAACTAGTTATTGTGTGTTTCTTTTGTTCTGTTATTTTATTTGATTTTATTGCGTAGCTAGTTTTCATGGTGTGATGAGAGGAGTAATGAGCAGCCATGGGAGGAGCATTGAATGAATTTCCATCATGACTGATGGAAGCTTTAGATCTGATAAGCCATGGCTGTTGGTTGCAAAGCTCTCCACACCATTTGCTCTGATTTTGTTTTCAGTAAGGAGAATGAGTGGACCCATGTTTGCTAGTTCCATGGAAGGTGATAGCTAGTCATATATTCAGAGGCATTGATTTGATATATAATCCAATAGATTGCATTGGTTTGCATTTTATTTGAATTGTTTTTTCTAATATTTATAGAAAGTTTATTTAAATAACATATATTAAATTAGTATGGGTGAATCAGATCATATAGATATGTGATTTATTATTGAAGTAGGCAGAAACTATGTGATTAAGCATTCCAATATTATAGTGTATGGGATTGACATTCTAGTTTCCTCAGACACTGAGCAATAATCATGCAGTACCTGGTAACTCTACATCTTGACTTGAAATATCATACGTATTTTCTCCTATCAAAAGTGTATATTTACTGTGTGAATAACAGAAAATTTGAATGGCATAGTGTTGTGTTTTGTTACTGATTTCTGGAGTAGTATTTTGTGTGTTTTCTGCATTTACAATCATCTAATATACATAAACATTATGGGTTTGTTAACTTTGCTAAATGCAGTGACTTTAATCAAAATAGTACATAGTATTTGGCATGGTTGTAAATGTTCTAGAAATGTGCATGGCTCCCCTAAGTAATTTCCATAAACACTGTATTTAGGGATAAGTATAAGCACATGTGTGAGAACATAACAGCTAAAATGCAATAATTCATTTGTTAGGTGTTGGTAGGTTATCTTGAGATTTGATTAATCCCTCTTTGGCTGCAAGCAGAAGTAGGAATGTCTTTATTTTCATATTCACAGATTTTTCTTTGAGCAGTTTTGTTGTGTTTCTACATATGCTGTGTTGGCTTTGTTTGACATTAGTGCTATAACACAAGAGGAGGTGACTAAATTTATATAAGGGGAGCTGAGGCCTTTTTTTTCTCATATTGCATATTTGAGTTACAGAGATATAGCAGGTACTGAAGAACTGAAGAAGAGAAAAAATGTATGTGCCGCAAAAGATTATACACATTAAGTTTTAACAGATAATCTCAATTTTAATAATTACAGTGCCATTTTAGTTGTGCTTGTATTTTTCACTGCAGAATAATGTATGCAGTGATGCACTCAATCTTTTTTTTCAGGGCTGTAACAGGAATTCTTTCAGATATGCAAATTCTAGATTGTACTAACATCTAAATTAAAGCCATAGTGTGGAAAAATGCAGCAGCTCCCTTTACGGCTTTTGTTTTCATAGAAATGTATATTTCTAATGCAGTACACCCATGAAAAGACCCGGAGTACTTCTTTAAACTATTTTATATATGTATATATATATACATATATATATATATATATATATATATATATATATATATATATATATATATATAGAGAGAGAGAGAGAGAGAGAGAGAGAGAGAGAGAGAGAGAGAGAGAGAGAGAGAGAGAGAGAGAGAGAGAGAGAGAGAGAGAGAATACACACACACACACACACACACACACACACACACACACACACACACACACACACACACACACACACACACACACACACACACACACACACATATATATATACACAGACTTTCTGACTATGATATTGTAATGCAAGTTATGACACTGTGGTTACTTAATTGTCAGGGATACCAATATCAGAATTTTCTTTACACCAGGCAACGGACTGTAAGCGGCTCCTCCCCAGTTCAAAACTTCATCTTCCCGGGCGTTGCAGCATCTCCTCCTAAATTCATGTCCTTGGAGGAAGTCATGAAAGCAGCAAAGGGAGTTAGCAACATGGTACTTGCACATGAGATTGCTGTAGACAAAAATTTCAAGCTGGAGAAGTTTGAACCTCCAGATAACAGTGTTGAGAAGCAGGTAAGGGGAGGTAACTCTCTCTCTTTTTTTATTATTCTTTTTATTAGAGTATATCTGAAATAGTATGTCTGAACACTCCAAGATTTTACATTAGCAAAACTGATGATTAAAAACAAATTAAAGATCTTTCATTTTATAAGTAACACTTGGCAAGAAGTGAAAGCCATCATAAGCCACCAAAAGGACAGTCTGTTGTTTGCAAGTTGCAAGAAAAATGTTTAAGGATTAGCAATCAACTGATGAATGTAAACAAAGCCTTATTGTTGTTCTCTGCTAATCCTACAGCTATTTTGGTTCATGTGGAAAATCTATATACTGATATATGGATGTATTGTAGTTTCAGCTTCACATTTTGTCAGAATATCTAAAAATTAATCTCCGTGTATAATAAGAAGAGTGATCAGAATTATTTTGCAGTGAAGGCAAACCGAGTTGCAATTTGAATATAGTTGTTCTCTACAGTAAAGGATTAATGCCTTATACATTTTATTTCAAGAGTGATTTAGAGTAAAAGGGTTGATATCTTACGCTGTGTATGCATACACTATAAGAGGGTTGACATTACTTTATGATTCCGATTGTGATTGATACTCTAGATTTCACATTTTGTCCCACTTTCTTCAGGTCCGTGATGTCATGCACAAAGCCTTCTGGGACCAGTTAGCAGAACAGCTCGCCCAGGAACCTCCTAGCTATGAACAGGCTTTGATATTGCTCCAGGAAGTCCGGGATAACCTTTTAGACATCACCCTTCCCCACCACACTCGTTTGCGACAGGAAATATCAGATACATTGGATGTGGATTTAATCAAACAGCAAGCAGAGCACGGCGTATTGGATTTTAGTCAGTAAGTGAAAATTGGCTGCTAGTTGTTGTAGATTAGCTAGTATCTGTGTTATGAGATCTCCTGTGGAAGAGGAATGTCTGTTAATTCCAACTGAACAGGTTTTTATGTGTGAGGTTTTTAATATATATAATTTTTTGCCTTTTGTGTCGGAAATGAAAAAAAAGGTAGATAGGAAAAGTGGTTACTAGTAGAAATTAAATGAGCAAGAAGTTGAACAAATAATGCAACTAAAATTACAAATATATTTTCATTATAGCATCAGAGGCAATTTATCATGAAACAAGAGCAAGGGAAGTTCTTATTACTAACAGGCTTCAAAAACTTTGCAGGTACTCTCAGTATGTACTCTCCATTATGGCTCGCCTCTGTGCTCCTGTCCGGGATGAAACTATCCGTAATCTTATGAGAGAAACAGAAATTGTGACAGTGTTCCGTGGTGTGATGGAGACCCTAGACTTAATGCGTCTTGATATGGCAAACTTCACCATTCAACAAATCAGGCCTCACATCATTGCACAGGTATGTATAGCAGCTTTGCTATTTTGTGGTTTCATTAATACATGTTCTTTTTCTTGCTAGTTGTTGAAGGTTCTGTTATAAGGGAAGGAGGATCTGTTAGGTACCCAAACACTGGTAAAATGTGTTGTGATTGTAAGAAACTTATTATATGAGAAAGAGAAAACAATATATTTAAGCTTTAAATTGATTTAATATGATTTGTATTTATCTAGCTTATATTGATAATCCCTCCCATCTGCAGAGTGTAACTTATGAGAAGAAGAAATTTGCTGAGTTCCTCAAGACCCAAAATGATGGCCTGGAGTTGACGAGAGATTGGCTTATAAACCATGTGCGAGAAGATGACATTGAAGGGGCAGACGAACTTTCGATGAGAGGAATAGTAGGATCTGTCATCAGTCGAGCTTACTTGGAACTCCTGTCATGGTCGGATGAGAAGCTTTTACCAGAGGTAGGCAGAATGATTGCATTATGTTAAAGCTACATTCACATAGTAATAGTTTTCTTGCTAATTCATTTGGGCCTGTATTCAGGTATTGTTTAATGATATCTTACAAGAGTAAATTGTAACATATATATTATCTAGTTCATATTATAACTGTCTGTTTTCTTATTTTGGTTATCTGATGCATTGATTTGCATTTCAGACTGTGGTAATGGATGGAGGCAGAATCTTCGAGCTTCGTGATCGCCTGAGCCAAGTTTGCATCCTGGGTTCAGTGTTGCTGGTCACAATGTCTTCAGTGGGACCCATGATCAGTCAAGCAGATGCTTTCAAGCTCAAACTAAAACGAAATCTCTGTATCATTCTCGATCCAGCTCTGTCAGATAGGTATGATTTTAACCATTGATGTTGGGAGGGGGCATATAATTATATATAGGTGCGTCTACTGTAATTTTGCTTTATTAATCTTGTTTACATATAAATGGCACTTGTCACCAATGATTCAGTTACACCATTTCTTGAACATTTGGAAGATTTTTTTTTTTACTTTTATTGTCATCGTTAATAATATCATAGTATTGAAAATGATTATGATGATATTTCAGGGCTAATAAGGATAATGATAGGAATTAGAGATGAAAGTTTTTTCCAAAATATTTAAGACATGGGGAAGACAGATAAGATCAGGAAGGCCAAGTAATTAATTTCTAGATGACCAATGCTTGAAAAGTCATATATGCATTTGTGAAATTAATAAAATAAAACCACAGTGGACAGTACATGTACACAGCACCAATGTGCTATTCCTCTGTTGATTGTTACTAATAGATGTTTGAGCATTTAGCCACTATAATTGAGTGCTTAGTCCAGAAAATTACCATATTTTAAAAACAACAAACTTACATTGATTGTATTTTATATTATAAACTAGCTATTGGCACTGTTATTAGATTAAAATACCTATTGTATTAATGACCTACAGAATTAGGTGGCTGTAATGCTCTCCCAAGAAGAAAGATATATCATACTGTTTATACCAAAGAGGATCATTGATTATATTAAGTACTATACACCTTCATAATTGATTTTCCCCCAGTTTCCCTAGTGTAGTTTATAGGACATTGATGTTTTTATTATTTATGTATTTATTCATATATTTTTCCTCTTCCATATCCATAGTGAGACCATGGCACTGATGGAGAATATTGCTGAACAAGTGGTGAAGGAGGTTGAGGATCACCTGAGTGAAAATGAGAAGCCACCTCTTCCGGCATCAGCCAAGGTTGCTCTAAAGTCACAAGTCCTCGAGATTAAGAGCCCAGACCATCGTATTAGAGCTCTCATAAGTAAGCATTGCAATGAGCAGTTAGTAATTTTTAATTGGTTTGTCATTGGTGTTCATCATATTTTATTGTGATTGCAGCCATCATATTTGTAAATGTCACTGTTACTTTAGAGCTGTTAAACTCAAATTTCAGTAATTCAGAGTGAATTTAAATATAAACAGGAATCAGGCTGTCAGTTCTATCATAGAGGGAGGACTAATCCAATTTTCCTCCAACAGTGAAGAGAGCAATGGAGTTCATTGGCACACTGCTGAGTTCCACCACAGCTCGCCCAGTGCAGATGCCCCCTGGACTCTCAACTTTTTTTTTTTTTTTTTTTTTTTTTTTTTTTTTTTTTTTTTTTTTTTTTTTTTTTTTTTTTTTTTTTTTTTTTTTTTTTTTTTTTTTTTTTTTTTTTTTTTTTTTTTTTTTTTTTTTTTTTTTTTTTTTTTTTTTTTTTTTTTTTTTTTTTTTTTTTTTTTTTTTTTTTTTTTTTTTTTTTTTTTTTTTTTTTTTTTTTTTTTTTTTTTTTTTTTTTTTTTTTTTTTTTTTTTTTTTTTTTTTTTTTTTTTTTTTTTTTTTTTTTTTTTTTTTTTTTTTTTTTTTTTTTTTTTTTTTTTTTTTTTTTTTTTTTTTTTTTTTTTTTTTTTTTTTTTTTTTTTTTTTTTTTTTTTTTTTTTTTTTTTTTTTTTTTTTTTTTTTTTTTTTTTTTTTTTTTTTTTTTTTTTTTTTTTTTTTTTTTTTTTTTTTTTTTTTTTTTTTTTTTTTTTTTTTTTTTTTTTTTTTTTTTTTTTTTTTTTTTTTTTTTTTTTTTTTTTTTTTTTTTTTTTTTTTTTTTTTTTTTTTTTTTTTTTTTTTTTTTTTTTTTTTTTTTTTTTTTTTTTTTTTTTTTTTTTTTTTTTTTTTTTTTTTTTTTTTTTTTTTTTTTTTTTTTTTTTTTTTTTTTTTTTTTTTTTTTTTTTTTTTTTTTTTTTTTTTTTTTTTTTTTTTTTTTTTTTTTTTTTTTTTTTTTTTTTTTTTTTTTTTTTTTTTTTTTTTTTTTTTTTTTTTTTTTTTTTTTTTTTTTTTTTTTTTTTTTTTTTTTTTTTTTTTTTTTTTTTTTTTTTTTTTTTTTTTTTTTTTTTTTTTTTTTTTTTTTTTTTTTTTTTTTTTTTTTTTTTTTTTTTTTTTTTTTTTTTTTTTTTTTTTTTTTTTTTTTTTTTTTTTTTTTTTTTTTTTTTTTTTTTTTTTTTTTTTTTTTTTTTTTTTTTTTTTTTTTTTTTTTTTTTTTTTTTTTTTTTTTTTTTTTTTTTTTTTTTTTTTTTTTTTTTTTTTTTTTTTTTTTTTTTTTTTTTTTTTTTTTTTTTTTTTTTTTTTTTTTTTTTTTTTTTTTTTTTTTTTTTTTTTTTTTTTTTTTTTTTTTTTTTTTTTTTTTTTTTTTTTTTTTTTTTTTTTTTTTTTTTTTTTTTTTTTTTTTTTTTTTTTTTTTTTTTTTTTTTTTTTTTTTTTTTTTTTTTTTTTTTTTTTTTTTTTTTTTTTTTTTTTTTTTTTTTTTTTTTTTTTTTTTTTTTTTTTTTTTTTTTTTTTTTTTTTTTTTTTTTTTTTTTTTTTTTTTTTTTTTTTTTTTTTTTTTTTTTTTTTTTTTTTTTTTTTTTTTTTTTTTTTTTTTTTTTTTTTTTTTTTTTTTTTTTTTTTTTTTTTTTTTTTTTTTTTTTTTTTTTTTTTTTTTTTTTTTTTTTTTTTTTTTTTTTTTTTTTTTTTTTTTTTTTTTTTTTTTTTTTTTTTTTTTTTTTTTTTTTTTTTTTTTTTTTTTTTTTTTTTTTTTTTTTTTTTTTTTTTTTTTTTTTTTTTTTTTTTTTTTTTTTTTTTTTTTTTTTTTTTTTTTTTTTTTTTTTTTTTTTTTTTTTTTTTTTTTTTTTTTTTTTTTTTTTTTTTTTTTTTTTTTTTTTTTTTTTTTTTTTTTTTTTTTTTTTTTTTTTTTTTTTTTTTTTTTTTTTTTTTTTTTTTTTTTTTTTTTTTTTTTTTTTTTTTTTTTTTTTTTTTTTTTTTTTTTTTTTTTTTTTTTTTTTTTTTTTTTTTTTTTTTTTTTTTTTTTTTTTTTTTTTTTTTTTTTTTTTTTTTTTTTTTTTTTTTTTTTTTTTTTTTTTTTTTTTTTTTTTTTTTTTTTTTTTTTTTTTTTTTTTTTTTTTTTTTTTTTTTTTTTTTTTTTTTTTTTTTTTTTTTTTTTTTTTTTTTTTTTTTTTTTTTTTTTTTTTTTTTTTTTTTTTTTTTTTTTTTTTTTTTTTTTTTTTTTTTTTTTTTTTTTTTTTTTTTTTTTTTTTTTTTTTTTTTTTTTATTCTGCTGCAGGAAGAGCTAGCAAACATCTGTGGCACTTTGCTCCGTCTCGTGACACACAACAGAAATGTCTTTGGGGAATATTATTCAGATATCATCACCAACCACATAAAGGCTAAGAAAGAATATGTTGAGTCAGCAGATGACAAAGAGCAAGTGGAAGAGAAGAAGGAAGGGGAGGTGGAGAAGGAGAAAGACCAGCAGGAAGAAGAAGCCAAAAGTGAGGTAGAAGCATAGTTCTGTGATGGAAATTAATGATTGACTTTGTGTGAAAGGGAAGATATTGTGAGGTAAACATGAATGTACAGTTATATATTATATGTACATATACATTAGATAAATTCATTTCAAGATAACAAGCATTAGTGATAAAAGTAAAATGTGCATCTTAAACATACGCTGCATAAAAATGAATCTCAGATCAGGTTAATAATCAGTTTCCAAAATATACAAACAAGAAAATAGTTGAAGTATGAAATGTACTCATCCGCTGATTAATGTAACAGACTTCATCATGATTGATAATGCATTGTAAAAGAGATGTTTATTTTAGATTTACTGTTTTGAGTAAATGTAAAACAATACAATGAAAATTAAACAAGGCACTCAAGAAACTACGCATAACAATTGCATAAAAGATGTAAAAGACACTTTCAGAATACATACCTTTGAAATTCTCACAGACCTTGAAATTGAAGTGAGTGACAGAACAGTTTTACCTTCTATTACACATAAATAAAGTTACTTCTCAATTACTTTTCAATGCTTCTAAGTCCATTTGTAGGCATCGAAGGTGCAATTTTTTATTGCTTTGGTGCCAGATGGAATATGAATTTCCAACAGCTGCCTGAAAGAGTCATGCTATGTGTTGAAGAACGGTGGTCCAAACGTACTGAACTAGAACAAAATTGGTTATGTTGTTTTATTCTGCTGTAGTATGAAGCATTGTGCCAAGATTGGAAGAGAAAAATGTGCTATATGTGACAGGCTGAATAGAAAATTCTGTAAATATACAAATATTAAAAAAATATATATAAAAGAAAAACAAGAAAAATATGTTATTCCAATCCAAACTGACAGAAACAGGAACACCCCAGTGCTGTGAAATAAAGCTATAGAGTTTAGATCAGAAGAGAAGGATATCTAAGGTTTATACCCTATATTATGGGAAAATGAAATACTGAAAATAATACTTATAATACAAGAACCAATCAGTGAATTTTCTGATTTGATAGAAAATAGTGAAAAAAATGCATATGGAGTACTTATGTACCTATATATTATTCTTACCATTTAATGTTGTCATTAATTAGGATGGTGCATTTCTGTTCAGCAGTCACAAATGGATGTAAGAATATCTCTGCTGGTATTGAGAAGGATGCTTTGCTTCTTCATTCCATTGGATATAAAATAAAAGGTAAAAATTGAGGAATGCTTATTTAGGGCCTTTGACAGACTATATATTCATTCCTGATTTTTTATTATTTTAGGTTTACATTTGATGTGAAGTAAATTTTTAAATTTTATTTACAATATTCTGTACTGTGTATTGGATAGCTTCTTGGATTGTTTGTATTAGTGAGAATGAGGATTTGGTGTAATCTTAAGGATAGGCAAGTTGTTGTACAGTATTTTTATAATATAGAATCATGTATGCCCATATCTGGCCGGAGATGGAGCAGACATTAATGCAATATTTTTAAGGTGGTTAAGCCTTGCATAATTTCCTTTTTTAGTAACAGTGTACTAACATAGTATGTCTTTCATATTTAGTTTCTCATATCTTCTAAAAATATAAATGTGATATTGTTAGTGAGGTGTCCACCCTAAAAGGAAAATTGACCACATTCTGTATTATGTTCATGGTGGACTGGCTGTATGGATGATGTGTAGAGTAAACTTGGGTGTTGTGGTTTGTTATGTGTAACATGTCAACAGGTCTGCAATCTCAAGAGTAATTTCTTTTTTCATGACAGCAGTCAAACCAATCAGTGAATTTTCTGATTTGATAGAAAATAGTGAAAAAAATGCATATGGAGTACTTATGTACCTATATATTATTCTTACCATTTAATGTTGTCATTAATTAGGATGGTGCATTTCTGTTCAGCAGTCACAAATGGATGTAAGAATATCTCTGCTGGTATTGAGAAGGATGCTTTGCTTCTTCATTCCATTGGATATAAAATAAAAGGTAAAAATTGAGGAATGCTTATTTAGGGCCTTTGACAGACTATATATTCATTCCTGATTTTTTATTATTTTAGGTTTACATTTGATGTGAAGTAAATTTTTAAATTTTATTTACAATATTCTGTACTGTGTATTGGATAGCTTCTTGGATTGTTTGTATTAGTGAGAATGAGGATTTGGTGTAATCTTAAGGATAGGCAAGTTGTTGTACAGTATTTTTATAATATAGAATCATGTATGCCCATATCTGGCCGGAGATGGAGCAGACATTAATGCAATATTTTTAAGGTGGTTAAGCCTTGCATAATTTCCTTTTTTAGTAACAGTTTACTAACATAGTATGTCTTTCATATTTAGTTTCTCATATCTTCTAAAAATATAAATGTGATATTGTTAGTGAGGTGTCCACCCTAAAAGGAAAATTGACCACATTCTGTATTATGTTCATGGTGGACTGGCTGTATGGATGATGTGTAGAGTAAACTTGGGTGTTGTGGTTTGTTATGTGTAACATGTCAACAGGTCTGCAATCTCAAGAGTAATTTCTTTTTTCATGACAGCAGTCAAGGCAGGCTTTAAGGAATACCTATGCTCTCTGAGGGACAAAGGCAACAGAACCCTAAAAGATATTTAAAATTCTGCTGATATAGGACAGCACGAAGAATTAAGAAATTTTGTGGTGTGTAAATTGACTAACCATTAGTGCCTGTTACTGGCCTATGTATGTATATGTGTACATATCTGCATACTTACATACATATATCTATACATACATACATATGTGATTAAAGTATATACATATTTGTATACATGTACATTCACTATATGTAAAATCATACATACCTGTAATAACCATGTTTATGTTAAGTATACCCAAGATCTTACTTAACATTAAGAAAATATGTCTTTGTCACAAGGCATTTGTTAATTTTGATATGTCAGGCAGTAACACTCCTATAACCTAGTCAGACTGTATGATGCATTAAACTTCAGACAAACCTGGTAAATTTGATTAGAGAAAGTCCTGTACTGATATTGTAATATGCTTTGTATTTACAACATTAACATTAAAGGATATTTTTATTTTTATTATTATTTATTATTATTATTATTTATTAGAAAAGTTCAGTCATGGTAAGAGAAATAAACTGCAGTTGTGCAAAAGGAAGTGAATATCAGTGAATTTTATATAAAGATCGATTCAGTATAGCAGATCTGTAACATGAAATGCAAATGTTTTAAATACCAGCAAAATGCAGGTTTGTTAAATATTTGACTTGATTGACTGCTAACAAGGGAACTCCAGAAATTCCCAATCAGATCTGCTAACTTTTCATCAGTAATTTAATCCTTATCATATATATATCTATATGTGGGGCATGAAGAAAGACTAACTTTTATTGCTTAATTTATATATCCTTTAAATTACCTTGTCTTGTATCTAGATGTGGGTCACAGACTGTCAGCTGCTGAAGACAGTCAGTATAATCTTCTAAAGCAGGCTACATTTTAACATTATTCAAGCACTAAAATGATAATGAAAGAGGATGTGAAACTTGAAAACATATAATGTATTTTAGATACAACACAGCAAGTCTCAACAACACTTCATGGATCTGGTTTATGTTTGTATTTATTTGTACGTAGGCTTTTGCAGGTGGCTTACTCAACTTGATTTTTACAGATGAAAATAAATATATATTTTGGAGAAACAACAATGAGCAATTGTAATGGAAGACTTCATAATGATTTGCTTTTAAATTCTCAAATGTCTCATGTACGTTTCTGTAAACATAAGTGAAAGGATGATGATAATTCAAAGGTGCAGTGCTGTGTGGAGCAGTTGCTTTCACACTGACACTTTCTTCCTTTTATTTAAATCATATTACTATTTTTGTAATTATATATAAGGTAAGTGAATCCAGTTTAAAATAAAACAAAACAAGACTTCTACATTTTGTTAGTGTTCCATGAGCACTGTATTGAGCACATGAAATCAGGGTTGTTGAGTGAATAATTAGAATTCTGTTACGAGTGCATCTGTATGTGTCTGCAACTGAGCATGTAAATACATTTTGGTTATGTTATGTAGGAACATATTTTTTCTCATCATTAAATCTTTCATTTTATACCATTGTTCATTTTGTGAATCCTAAGGCCGTTTTTAAACTTTTATACCAGCATGGGTGACTGTTTCCTTTTTGTGGGAGTAAATGGTATATATATATAAATTTAACCACCATATAAGAACTGATACTTAACTATAAATATATACAGTTCAACTTATTATGAACTTATAAGTAAAGAACAAAATAAAAGCAAAAAAGTTTTGTTTACTCTCTTTCTTTCCTGGGAGATAAGAGTAATAGTTCTTTTAAGATGATTAGTTAAGTAATCATGAATGAAGTCTATGCATGACAAAATATAGACCTGTATAAGAGCTACCCTCTTATACCTCCCTCTCCCAATGTAGACACACACACAGACATGGACACACACACACACTCTCTCTCACTCTCACTCACTCACTCACTCACTCACTCACTCACTCACTCACTCTCTCTCTCTCTCTCTCTCTGTCACACTCTCACACTCTCTCTCTGTTACACTCACACTCTCATACTCACCCATCCACCCACCCACTTGCTTGTCTTAGATATCCTTTTACATGTCAAATTCATGACTGCAGTATGTTGGCTTCAATTATCTGTTTGTCTCCTTAGTACATATAGATTAGGATTGTCAACTGGAGTCCCACTAGCCGAACGAGATTGGAACCAGACTTAAGTGAGGATAATCTTCCCCTTGGTTGGACTTTGCTCCTAGGGGAAGCAGACAAAAATTTGGTAATATTACTATGGGTAGTTAGGATTCTATGGCTAATGATGGTTTTCAGTATTTCTTAATAAACATGTAGTTATGTCAATCAGAAAGGATTCTGAAGTCAATCAGGCATATCAGGGAGTGTACTTATAATATAGATGAGAGGCTGGGGCCAATGGTGGCTCAGGGACAAGGGCTACTAAGTCTTGGTAGAACCCTAGCCTTTGCATTTTGTTACATGAACTGTCCACAAGGAATCTTGTTACACATAAATGGCCCACAAGTGCTCAGCCACCAAGGAGTCCATATCAGTATACCAACATGACCCATTCTATGATTTTTAAAAAGATTTTTTTAAAGCTAACAATCCTATGAGCTTAGTTTGATGTTTTTACACACATATATATGGCTCTACAAGTCATCTAGATAGCTCCACATGTACTTAGTCATAAAGGACTCAATTACTAGTACTATCTAAGCCACCAAAGTACAAGCCTTTTCCTTAATTTCTGGAAATATTATCTCTTTGCCTTATACTACTATTAGTAATGTTAATTACATTATAATTATACGGTCTAAATACAAATAACAGTACCTAAATTGATAGCATTAGTAAAAATCAAAGGAAAGGGTAAATCAGATGAGGTCACAAGGACTACTGGTGGCTAAGCACTTTTGGAGCCATCTGTGTGTTAAGACACTCCACACACACACACACACACGCACACAAAAAAACAAAAACAAAAATCAAACTAAAGGCAACATAAAATTTTCCTAGCGGCATAAGGTTAATGCAGATACTATTATTATTATTACTGATCTGATTATTATAATGTTATAAAAATACTAGGAGCAATAAGAAATAAAGAATATTCTTACTGAAAACCAATGTAAAGGGGAAACAAGTGAGATAGGCTGTATTAGTAATTGACTCCTCCCCCCCCCTTCCCTTGCTTGTTGTAAGGATCACCTCTAGCCTCAACTAATTTTGCAGGGTCTTTTCTTCTTCGTCTATTCTTTTTTCCTTCTCTTTTTCATCCCCTTCTGTCCACTTATCCTCATCGTTAACTCATATTTACCCTTTTTGCCACAATCTTTACCATAATGCTGTGTAACCTTTGATGTCTGGTACATTTGTTTGTTTTGACCATTGGCTATTCTGGAAATCCACAAACATTGTCTTACTAAACCAAAGCTTTGCCCCTAAGCCCCACCCCATCGCCACAGATATTGATGTGGCAGAAAATTTTCAATAAACAAAATAAATAATTGACTTCTTAGTGACTACATACTTGTGGAGCCCTTTTTATATAACCACAATTAATATACTAAAATCACAGTTTACAGCTTTGCCTCCTTATTTGACAATATGTTACAAGAAGGTACAGGATACTGTACCATATTGGGAAAAAATCCTCTAAAATTATGTATTGCTACTTTTGCAAAGCCTCAGAATTTAAAAGATTCACTCTTCAAAGAGAGCATGTCAGTGGAAATACATTTTCCCAACATTATCAATCAAGTGTTATGTCAGATTTCGTTCCTTATTCTTAGACTTTACTTTCTTATCTGCACTTGAGAAACAACATTTTCCTTAAAATAAGTCAAAGCTTGTTTCAAATTTCAATCCAGTAGGACATGATAGTGAATATTATTTCCACTCAAGTAAACTAATAAGTAAAATAATATCTGGAAGCAATATTTCTCACAAACATACTGGCTCTCAGTTGTTTTGCAGTTAACAAAATTCAAATATCAAAACCTTAAATGCCTTATAATCATAAAAGCCCTGATGTTCATCCAAAAAGAAATATATTCACAAGGTGCATTACTTATATGTTCACTGAAATAACTAAATAACAATAAAAAAACAGACGGAGTCTGAGACCCAATGTAGGGGATCACGCTACCTTGGAGCTCAGCCCTTGCCTCAACCAATGTTGCATGGTCTTTTCTTCTCCAACCTTTCTTCTGTCCACTTTACCTAACTATTAACTCATTTTTATCCTGTTCACCACAATATTTTATCAGGATAAGATGTGCTAGATGTTAAAGGTTGTAGAATGCTGTAGGATAGAATATTAGTGAAAAGGATATAGAGGGGGAGCAAATGGAATACAGTAGGGATTTGTAAAAGGGTGTGGTAGAGGTACTGGATAATCAGATCAATATGGAGAATATGTGTCTGAGGAAGGGAGACTAACACTGTATGGGAAAACTGCAAAACAGCTATTATGAAACAATCAAATGGTAATACGGTAAGAAACGATAGTTGTGGAAGTAGGAGAAGAATCCTGAGAATGAAATAATGAACAGGAAGGTGGTGAAGTATTGGGAAGAATGTCAGGAGGGGAGGGATCCCACAGAAGGACATTGTTTTGACTTGAGGGAGTCAGGTGAGCATATAAGTGGGGTGGTAAGGATCATGAGGAAGAAAGAGGGATCGGTGATGCACATGTAGGAGGAGAGGATGGGGTGTTTTTTGGGTGAGTTGGAGGACGAGGGGTAAGGGGAACTTGAGGAGGAGGAGGATGGATATTGGCAGGTACTTTGGATGTAGAGTGAATTAAGGGATTAGAGGGTGGATGAGGGACTGGATAAGTCACTTGAGTTATGAACTTTTGGATGTCTTCAAGAGTTTCTGGAAGGGACTTGGGTAGGGAGGTCTGAGAAGCAAAGATATGCTTATGTGAAGGAGAAGAGGGAATAGATGTCTGAGGTGCAAAGGGAGAGGTGGGTGTAGGAGAGGATGTAGTAGATGTAGAGAAATGTTTAGAGTGTCTGTTGCGGCAGGTAGAAAGAAGAGGGGGAGGGGTTGGAGTATCTGGATTGAGACTGGAAAAGAAATGGGAGGGGAGTGGAGGGAAGTACAGTTTTCAAATATGTAGAAAGAGATAAACCTTGTTGGCATACTTCTTGTCTGACCTAATGCAGAGTGAGGCCTAGTTTGAATCTGAGCTTGTAGGCAGGGCAGCCACCACAATTGGCTCGTGCATGACTGAGCAGAGCAATTTGAATGGTCATGACCAGGTTGGGCACAGGTTTGGGCAGCGGGCTGTGGAGCGACAGTGTTTGGTTGAGTGGCCAAAATAGCAACATTTCTGACATTGATGGGGAAGAGGTCAGTATGGTCAGACAGGGAAGGACACTCCACCACGTCATGTCTATGGAAGCTAATCTTGGCAATATTGGTGTAAAACTTACCCTGGCCTTTGAGAGGAATAGTGCATCATAGTTGATGAGTAAGTCGTTTTCAGTCTGACCTTGCTGTATACAGTCCGTTGGAGAGACGGAAACAGTTTGGTAGAAGTATTATGGGAGGAGTGAAGTTGGGCAGGAATAGGTTTACCTGTAAGGTCAGTGAGAGTAGATAGTGCACAAGCTTGGGACTCAGATATAACTGTGACAAGGCATGAATGATTGGAGTAACTGCAAAAGGAAACTTTACCCACCGCTGTGGATTTGGAGTTGGAGTCAGAAGGAATTTAGTGTTGCTCGAGTTGGAGTTGGTAAAAATGTCCTGACTCTAACCTCAACATAAAATGCAAAAATCCCACTTTTTAAACATATTACACACCCAAGAGAATGAGATATCATATCATTTTAATTTTGTCATAGTCCTACATGTATTTTTTAAAGCATAATTTTTTTTTATTGACAATATACAATAAAAAGGCCACAATGGCATAGCTATAACTATTTAACTCAAACCTTTCAAGGACATGGGGTTAAAAGGAATCCTGTAGTTCTTATGAAATCCACAGCCCTGACCTTACCTACTTGTTTTTGGAGACACTGGAAGAGAAGGGTATTGTCAGAGTATAGGTCTGTAGGGGGAATCATAAAAAATTGATCCCTCTTTGCTGGGCCAAAAAGGTACTTAAAGGTTTACAAAGCAGTAGAAGGACAAGGGCAGGAGGAAGATGGGGTGGTATGAAGAGAGGTAGTACTACTGGGAGGACAATAAGGATGGAGAGTAGTAATAAGGGGGGTGAGGGAAGACAATGAAGAAGATGGAATGGAAAATGTTGGGAGAGAGGAAGAGGTGTATTCTGAAAGTTGAGTAATGACGTGGATGGAATGATTTGGAATGAACAGAGTGGACAGCAGACATCGAAGAAGGGGTACTAGTAGTAGTAGGGTCGGGAAACCAATGAAATCAAATTTAGATAGACTAGTTGATGAAGGGGGCAAGCCTTAATGCCACTAATAAGGGTAAAAAATCTTCATTATTGGCCATGGTGAGCCTGAAATAAAGGAAACAGTCTATCAACCACAGAATTAGGGGGATGAAGGTAAATTGTGTAATATGGCCCTAGAAAATATATACAATATGTATATGTATGTGTGTATAATATATATATATATATATATATATATATATATATATATATATATATATATATATATGTATGTGTGTATAATATATATATATATATATATATATGTATGTGTGTATAATATATATATAATATATATATATATATATATATATATATATATATATATATATATATATATATATATATATATATATATATATATATATATGTATGTGTGTATAATATATATATATATATATATATATATATATATATATATATATATATATATATATATATATATATATATATATATATATATATATATATATAAATATTAGTTCAACAAGTCTTAGTTTTAGTCATAGTTCTGAACAAGCCTCAGAATTATGACTCTTTAGTCTTAGTTCTGAACAAGTTCAGAACTAAGACTAAAAAGTCAGTTTAGAACATTCTTATATCAATTATAATTTTTTGGCATAATTGGCTGGGAATGGAGATCCTGATGCCTTCACAATTATTCTAGAAAATATATATCCAGCTCTTAAAGTCCTATCATACAGCATATACCACTGTTTTTGTTGTCTGATTATTTTTATTGATTTTTTTCTATATTCATTTTTTTTTTATATACCTTCATGCAATCTTTGTTTTAGAAATAAATATTAAAAAACAGTTGACTTAAAGCATATGCAAAAGGATACTGATAATAGCACATGTAACTTCAGCATTAACCCATTGCCGACGGGAAAAAAAAAAAAAAAAAAAAAAAAAAAAAAAAAAAAAAAAAAAAAAAAAAAAAAGGGAAAATGCTGTGCCTATTTTCTATAGTTTTTGTCTACCCATAGATGGCTCTGTTAGTGCCTGATTTGAAATGGCGGGAAAAAAGTATTTTTCACTAATGCCATGAATGTCGATGGTGGTATTTTTATTATAAATATTATAATTTTTATGATGTTTTTTAACATTAGTAACAGTAAAATAAGATAACGTAAAATATTTCGTAAATCAAAGAAAAGGATGAACGGGCGAGACAGGCGGTACTCGTAACTGGCTCATTGGTGATTTAGTACAAGTGTAGCCATCTATGTCTAAAAACAATCCAACAAGTAATCTCACAGTGGGCATGGCATGCCCGTCAGCAATGGGTTAAGTATATTTGTATATCTATTTCTAATCTGCAATATCTTTTGGACTTTTCCTTTCTATAAGAGGTATTCTAAACAAAATGCTTACTCAATTCTGAAATTTATTTAAAAATTACACCATAAGCATGTTTACAGAAAAAACAATGCCTGGTAACCATAACAAATATACTTTGATATCATTCTGTAACACAACAAAAATTTGGGAATCATCTGCCACAATTCAGGGAGAAAAGACGGCTCAGTGGTTTGACTTGCTAAACTTTCTTAAGCCTTACCCTCTCTTCACCACCCCTACTTTTAGCCAATGGTCTAGAGCAGATGTGACAATAATTTCAGCTTCTTCTTTCCTTATATTACTTATGACATTTCGCACACCTTCCACAGATGATGTTGCAATTAAAGGTCGTCTCTGATGGACGAGCATTGCTACAATCACAAATGACAGGACTCTAAATGCACCAGCAAAGATTTTATCCAGTATTTTCTCAATGGCTGTCTCTGGGAAGATATCACAGAACAGGCTGAAGCACTGATGTTTTAAGAGACTGCTGGTGAAGAGACCCATTTTAAACAGGTGGAGGTGGAGGTAGTCGTTTTCCTTCCGCAACATGCCAATGGCATCTTGGACAGCATCTAAGATAGCCTGCTCATTCTTTAGCAGAAGTGACCAGATGGAGGCACAGACATGGTAGATATCTACTGGAGCGTCAAAGAAACAAGACACCTTTCTTGCAATGGCTATGAAGTGTTGGTTTTGTTTTGTTCGTAACTGCTGTCTGATGTCAAACAGAAGTTTGGCTTCACTCATCAACCACATCAGGAGGTAATGCTCTGGAAGAGGTATATCTGACCAAGGCTTATTTCCTGAAGCAAATTTAGTGTTAACTGCATTTCCATGGCAGTCATGTCCATTGACTGTTTCTTCCCCAAGTGTGGCAACATTTCCAAGACCCAATGATTTAAGAGCACGCCAAAGTTCCTCAAACATGAGGGCCTGTTGTTGCCCCACATACTCTTGAGACTCAGCATAACGGGGAGTGATGCCAAGCAAAAACTTCCAGACCAGTGTTCGATTTGTAGCAGGAACTATGGACCGCTGTGCAAAATTTGCAAATTTTCGCTCATTCAATGGTTGTTCCTTTAGAAGGGCTTCTACAGCACGCTTCTCCTCCACCTCCCTTAGCCCAACCTTCTCATAAAACTGACTTCTAAAATTCCTTTCATCAACCATTTTGTCAGTAATATACTGACAACATACCAAAAAGTAAATTAATGTAATTCAAATCTCATACATATAACAAACACTTTATCTTGCAATTTAGAAAGCAAGAACTGCAGTAGAGAATCACTATAGTCCCAAGCTATTTGACAAGATATCACAATCGAAATCTAATCTAAGTTACTTCTCTTAATCACTTTCATAGCTGTTTTCCTTGCCATCTTCCTGTTTTCCTTCTGTCAAAGCTGCTGGACCAGTGATGTTGCTGAGATCATCAAACTGACTGCACAAAGTACTCAGTTGTGTCTGGATTGTGGACATTACCATCTTCTGCTGCTTCTGGATCTCAAGAACTTCATCAGACACCTGCATCAACTCACTACGAAGGCTTTGGACATTGCTGATAAGTTCTGTCGGGACCTGAGGATGATTAGCACTATTAGTAACAGAATAACACTTACCACATAACGTCAATAACATAGTTGAATTTCTTTTCTACAAATCCTATGGCACATTTCTAATTTTTTGAGCATTGCTACCTTTTCATATAACTTGATCAAATATATACACCAAAGTGGTCTGATTGTGTTAGAACACTAAAACAGAATGGACTCAAATTAAATATTTTCTCGAGACTGGCACATCTGCCACTGGCTTCTCCACCTACAGCACTCTAAGAAAGACTAAAAAACTTCAAATACTTATATTCTGGCATGATGGAGCATGTAGGTCTCCCTAGTAATTTGTCATCAGTAATGAAACTACACATAGTCCTTCTTGTTTTTTCCTAGAGTGACAAAAGTGTGGAGGCTGGACACTGCGCAAATAATGGGTTTGACTTAAGACTATATTCTGATAAGATGCACCTAATATCATGATGAGAAAAAGTGCCATTTTGAAAGCCACTGAGTGTTTTGTATAAACTTATCCCAAATTGAAGAAGACACAACGTGAAAAATAATAATTAACAAAAATGGAACAAAAGGCAAAGGAGAAGGAATAATAATAAATAAATAAATAAAAAAGGAGAGAAAACTAATTAAGAGGGCAAAGGATATCAAAATACTGATCTGAGGAAAAGAATCTTAAAAAAAGGACATTATAGCATATAATCAATAAACAAACCTGAGTGTTAGCTGCCTGTGATCCAGCAAGAGTGTTGTACTCCTGATCAACCTTGCATGACAAAGCAGTCAGTTCGCTCTCTGCCTTGCCTAACTGAAACAAGACAGTAAAACACTTAATCTACTCAAGAACACTGTCAATGATAGTATATAATAATAATAATAAGCAGGCTGTATCTTGAAATATTAAAACTGGAAATGATTCATGGAATAACAATCAAGCTTATCATAAATGGAGAACCTTCCCTAGCAACTTATAATGAACCACTGTAAAAAATTGGCATGTCACTGTGGAATAAGGAACATTTCTTTTGTTGAAGATAAGACCTATTTTGATGTGTGATTATCATTTTCAAATAATGGCAAATCTATTTCTTAGGTAAAGTTGGAATTTATGAATTTCTAATTTACACTGCTGCATACATAGAATAGAAAGCTAAAAGGGCTAATTTAGGCACATTTACATGAGTGGGTAACAAATCAGTGATATGCTGCAAGAATCTGTGAATGTGACAGTAATGTCCAATTTTGTAAACAAAAACACTAATGTGGCCGCTTATCTGCAAGTGGCATACATCAAATGAAAGGTATATGTGCTATTTTGCATAAACTATTTTCTAAACTGAAATCAACATCAAGGTGGAGGAGGAATAGATACGGAGGGATGAAGAAACATCTTGGGAGGAAGGGGGAAGGGAAGAGTGAAGGGCAGCACTGGAGTAGGGAGTAAGAGAAAAACCTCATGGACACGTTTCCTGTCTGGCTTCATGTAAAGAGAGGCCAAGTTCGAATCTATGAATTGCCATCTCACACTTGTAGGTAGGTCACCTTATAAAAAACATTATGGGAGCCACTACAATTGGCATATGAGCAGTTTGATCGATCATGACCAGGTTGGGCACATTGAGGGCATTGAAAGGGGTACTGCTAGTGAACTGACAGCGACAGTGCTAGTGAATGTGAAAATTCTAGTGAAAGGATAGTGCCAATGAGAGTGAGTGACAATCCAAGTGAAAGAGAAGTGGAAGATGCAGTAGCACCCGCAACAACTAAAACATCACATCAGTGGTGACAAACTCATTGTTTCATTCCGTTCATACCTTCCTCTTGTGATACTCAAGATGAATTTCCCTACTGCAGAATAGTATTTATTATTGTCCAATGTAGTTTTATTTACCACGAGTGTATTTTGTTGTATACACTGAAATTCATATAGCAAATAAAAAATAAAGAACAGGAATTTGATGTCATTATCACACTGCAATCTTTTTCATTCCAATATCAGTCTTATTTCTCATTGTGGAAAATGCAATCTATACATGAAAAAGAAATGGCATAAATGATAACTATAAGAAGAGGAGCAACATTTTTGAGTTGAACTACACACCCCCATGTAGCGTGTATAGGAATTATTTTATTTACTGATAGAATTGTTAATAATACCATTATTATTATTTGGAGGGGAAGGGCTATTGCCTGTTTAACTGGTTTGCTCTGAAGGATTCAAAAGATGCACGTTGCTTGTGTAGGAGGTACTTGCCCCAAGTGGTAACTTTGAATGTGTCGTTCTGAAGTGTCAGTCTCTCTCTCTCTCTCTCTCTCTCTCTCTCTCTCTCTCTCTTGGAGGAGTAAGGGGTGAAGTAAAGGATAGGGGGATATGGAGGACAAGGGTAGGACTACAGAGGGGGAAACTGTGATGCAGACTCTGCCAATGATAATTTTTCATTTTGGGCAGAGGGTGGCTCTCAAGCTAGCTGATTTACGTGATTGGTGGGTGGAGCTATAGAATTTCTAGGGCAATATACAAAGTCTAAATAACTGAGATAGAAAAGAATATGGGGATCACTCAGCAACAACAACGCTGAAACCTGGCGCTACCATATAGAACAGGTTAACCTATGTGTGGTACTTGATAGGAAGCTGCAGTTACTTATAGAATGTTTGCATTTGTAAATATTTCTATTTTATGCAAAGTATGATATACTGGCAACACTGCATATCTGCTAGTCACCAGTGGTGAGTGGTTCCTTTTTATTGGTCACTCTATGTCTAATATGACTAATCCTAAGGAATCCTGTTAACATAACCACTATATATACCAATTTCCAAAGCATACAGAGGTAGTAGATGTGGCATAAATGAGCACCATTTTCCTGCAG